CTGCATGCGGTCCGCCGAAAGCCTGTGAATTGCAGGTAAGTCTGAAAACTTTCCCAATTCAATAAAATTTGATCAATTTCACATTTTCAGGCGCCATTTTAAGAGAATAGCTAGATATCATGTGAATCTCATTCGAGTGACCGACTTATATCCGGTTTGTTCATGCTGTTCAATTCCTCTATCGCAGGATAAACTGATATATCACCAGACTATGACGCCCGCTTGGCTTGAAGGCTTCGCTTCTTACATTGACAGCTCACATTCTACAACCGCAGATCTTATCACTTTCAACGCGGGCAAAGTATCCAATGCTGCACTACTTAAGATTCCATTAATCGCTTCCGACGTCTTGACAGACTGTGTACCGCTCACTGTTGAGATCACCGTCGCCAATGACGTCAGAATTGGTGGACGAGGTTACGACAGTGATATAAGGTATGGCTTGTCGGATGGCATCAATTTTATTGGATTCGAAGCGCCAGACAGAAGGACGTACGCGAGTCAGTCTCCTTGTTATGGAATTGAAGGAACACCTGGCAAATTCCTGAAGAAAATCAATTACAAAAACACCAAGTTCCCTAAAGTCAACAAGTATTCATACTACCCCGGTCGATTCTTGTTCACATTCAAGTTGGATCAGCGATGGGGTTCTTGTTACACCGCGCAGGACCATGGCTTTGAGAAGACCGCTGGCTACATAAACCGACTAAAAGTCAGTAAGGGGCTCACTCTGGAGGTTTACAAGACTGATAAAAATGAGAGGGTTGGGATCAAGTTTATCAAGGTGGCCATCACGCAGGACTCGTCATGTAATCTGTAATGAATAGTCGCCTAACGTGGCACCGGCAGTTCACCAATATTCTCCTTAACTGATTGGACTGATTGGAAAAATAGTAGAATTAAAGACTCGCCTCATGGTGTCACATTAGTAAATTAAGCATTGATAAGAATTCATTTTGCCATGTATAGATGACCGCATGAGACTGGCGTTTAAAGAATATACTTTGTTGATGACCGCATGAGACTGGCGTTTAATGAATATACTTTGTTCGTGGTTTCCCAAAGATGCCATGATATCAAATATCAAATCAGTGTCACTTGTACGGAACGTTTCTCTTAAAAATATTCTTTAACGTGTTATTCATTATTCAACAAGTTATAAGATTAACTTGTTCGGCATCAATGATGTCCGCCAAGATGGCCGTCATTTTATACTCTTGCGTAAACTAGCATTAAAATTTGACGAAAAGGGACCACACGGTGTCGGTGTGAAGCCTTTAAAAGCTTTTCCTGTCTTATTATCCCCAAGACCTGAGAATTTGAAAAAACAAATGGCCCGGCCATAAGATTCTTATTACGTTACATCTTATTACCACAGCAGCCTTCTTCAATCTGTGAGGTATACATAAGTGAGCGCAATTTGGGAAAATTCGGTTAAGAAGCCTACTTCTTTTGCTTCCTGCCACGAGAAGTAAAACTAACGTATAATATATGAATGGTATAAAGAGATATGGGAAACAAATACATCTTTCAAGCTACGTGGATCACAATATTCCACTGCAGCTATAACTTTTTTTTTGTTTTGTTTGAAAGAGGGACGTCCTCAAGTGAAGCTGAAATACTACTGATCGCTGACTCCCCTTCTCCCCCCCCCCCCCCCCCCCCCCCCCCCCCCCCCCCCCCCTCCCTCCACCCCTTCTTTTTGAGTGACCCACACCCTCCCAACAACTTCTTAATCACTGGTCTATTATCTTTTGCTACGGCTCATTTGCATGTTGTCACGGTGTCTTTTATGTTTCACCCTCCTTTCCGTAATTTGCCTCAGTAATGACCTGCAAACGAACCGAAATAGACCGAGGATCAAAACACTACCAGTATAGTGGCCTCGTCTTCTCTGAGGCGGAGCCACAGTCACATCTGTTCACTAACTCGCTTACGGAAAGGAATGAAAGATATTTAAGGTGCGGATTTGAACTTATACATATCTCTGCTTCCTTCTAAGTCTATCTCCCGTATATGATTCATTATGACTTAATATGATTTTTCAATTCACTGTTACCAATCAGTTTGTTTTGCTCCCTTTCTTTTGCTTTCCTTTTGTTAGAAAAAAAAAAAAAACAGTCGTGATAGTAAAATGTCAGTTCTCCTTTTATTTATTTATCAAAGTTTCCTTACAGTTTTCCCCACTTAAGTTACCCTTCTAGCCGCAGTTTACCTTAAAAGGGTTAAAAAAAAAAAAGAAAAGAAAAAACGAAAATAAATGAAACGCTAGCAGGCCTTAATGTTTTAGAACTCCAATCTAATTTGCATTTCTAATAAGATGCTCGACCTTCTCTGAATCTGTTGGTTTTGATTTCACACTCTGTGAGAGCTTTTTCTTCTATGCATCATCTTCTATGATGGAGACTTTGATAAACCTGATTCCAACCCTTTCACCCTCGCCAGATTTGTACACCTCCAGAGTGAGTCCCTTACTGGGCATTAGTCGGTTGATGTAGCCAGCGGTCCTCACGAAGCCTCCGTCATGCGCAATGTAGCATGACCCCCAACGTTCATCCAACTTGAGGGTGATGATAAACTGGCCGGGGTAGAAAGAGTCGGTAGGTTTCGGCTTCAACGGTCCGTAACGAGCAGACTTTAAGGTGCGACCAGAATCACCTTCTATTCTGTAGCATGGGGAACTCGAATCTGTACCATAATTCCCTTTGTCACGTGTTTCAAACCCGATCATTCTGATACCATCTGAAACGCCATATCGAATATCGCTGTCTGTCGTCTGGCCAATGTTAACGTCATTTGCGACCGTGATCTCAACAGTCAGCGGTGTTGAATCTTTAAGCACACCAGCAGGAATCATGGGAACTTTAAGTAGAGCAGGGTTCTTCTCAGAGCCTGCGTTGAAAGTGAGCTGTGCAGCATTTAGCGAACGAGAGCTGTCAATATAGGACGCATGCGCCTCCAGCCAAGATGGAGTCATGGTTTGATGATAGATAACTCTTTGCTGCAAAAAAGGAATATTGACAAGTTTACTTAGAAGTTATTTAGCACCTTATGTTAATTCAAAAATTATCAATGAAATATGAATTAAGATGGTCCATTGATTTACCATATAACTTCACTAAGTGTTTGAGTAAATTCGAAAAAATGGGCCAGTTACATGAAATAGAAGCTTCCTAATAAAATCTTCGGGAATAAAATGTCGTCAGGGGTAATGGGCTCCTGATTTCATAAAAAAAGGCAAACAAGATTTTGTCGTCATTTATCATTCATGTCGCCATTCTTTTCCGTGTTTACATTTAACAAGAACCATTTCAAATTGTGCAATGGTACTCGAAAAAATATCAGTTGAAAATGACGAAGGTTGTCTTTCTAAAGGTAGTATCGAGTTCGTGAACTCGTTCCAGTTTTCCTGGCTGGTCTTCAAACATCCGGGACGTGGGGCACTTTTGGTAATAAAAAGCCACGTAACTTACCTGTGCCTTGCAGGGGTATGTTGAGCACGCTGACTGGAAAAAACAGGAAGGAGTGACCTTAGAAAAACGGAAAATATACAATTATATAATAAGTTCAGTTATGCACGCACTCTAATTGGTTCTCACTTATGATCTATTGGAGGACAGACGTATAGATGACGTCATCATTAGAACTTTTTTTCAATTCTTGATTATATAAAACAAATAGATTCCAAGTTGCCGTGCGTCTGTTCAGTAATAGATCACAGAGGACGGTAAAATGTGTTAAAAACATCAGTGACACGCTCGGTTGAGCCTCGTGTGCCACTTTTTTGTTCTTACCACATTTTGACGTCATCTGTGATCTATTACTGAACAGACGCACGGCAACTTGGAATCTAGTTGTTAATTAGAAACTGAATATTCAGGATCTTCATTCCCGATCCCCGCCGGCATAATGCTTTTTTTGTGATCGCAAGTTTTTTTTTCTTAGAGTGGAATTAAAGATATGCGGCTGTGAATTCCACAAGTTTGATCTGCTAGAAAAGCACAGGATTATTCTCGTGTAATTACTGATAAGTAAATTCAGCCGCCTGGTCTACATTAGATGCTTGAATTAAGTCAATCAGCCCATGGCTCGTACTCCATATCAGATCGTAAACAATCAAAGATCGCAGTGCCGCATTTCACAGAGAATTTGCTTAATCTTTCCCAAAATTCCATACTCAAATAATTACTACGGATCATTCATTCCATAAATAGAATTTTCAGTATTAAACTGCTGAAAAGACGTTACAAAGAAAAACTTCTCAACTTTCGTTTCCATTACAAGCCGCCGATCGCTTCACGAAAAGACACGAAAAGTCAGTAATTTACTTACTTACCAGTTTTTGTAAACGATATGACGACAGTATGGTTATTGGCTTACAAGTAACCATGAAAAACAAATGTTATTTGAGAGTGATTATTCAAATTGAGTGGCAAAATTTTGCGTTTAGTCCGAGCGTTGTAAACATAAATATTTTTTTATAGTTTCGCCCTATTCGTCTGCGTAGTCAGTTGTGACTAATTTTGCCGATATTCACATCGTCAAAGTATTTTAAAAAATCCTTAAAATGAAATTAAGTCACTCACTGGGCAAAGAAATGTCACCAAATATACGACTGCCAAGCCTGTGTTTGAAAAAGTGGGAAAGAACGCCATGCCTCACTCAGCTGTAGATTTGCGAAACTTCAACAGCAGCGTTACGTTAAGATATCAGGATTAAAATGACGCATCAGCTCATTGTCTTGTTAATTTAATGCAATTTGGAGCACGAACTTTTACGAGCAAGAACATTGTTTACATTTATCTCCAATTACCATAAAGTAAGTAGTGCAATTATTTTTCTTCCCTAAATATAATTTTAATCGGAAGAAATCATGATTTCGGAATAAAGATGGTGTGTTTTTTTTCCTGATGCACAACTCTTGATATAAATTACGTTCTTTCAAATGTCGCAGTGAAGCAAAGCATCTTCAGGGGTCTGGGAACCAAAACCAAGATAAAATGGCGGTTGAATTTGTACAGGAAGCTCTTGAAAAGTGTCGCGTTCTTAGAGATAAAATTTGGCATAGTGTCACTTCATCTGAAGAGAAATCTATACGAATATATTTATCAGATGCATTATTTTCTAGCGCAGTTGCTGGAATAACGTTTCCAGTATTTCTAGGATGTTTACAAACTGGAATCTTTCGTCCTTTACGTATTTCCTCAAACCTTTTGTTCGCTCCTGTCTGTGGCTGTATTTCGGTATTCATATCAGGGGGTTGTGCCTCACTGTTGCTTCTATCGAGCTTTTCATTTATCGGAAAAAATGATTGGCACAAAACTTTACTAGATAAACGCCAAGGGTATGTTCATGTTCCAAACGAATATTCATTAGCGATTTCAGTGCGTCCCGCGGATATTCCACTGTGTGGATTTGGGAGTTTGATCGTGTTTAAGATCTTGGGAGGACGATTTCGATCAGTGTTACCAAGCAGCTTGATTCATCCAGGAGCATTTGCTAGAAAGTACATTCCAGCCAAAGGACAGAATTATGCATCTGCAACTGTTAGAAGAAGGCTTCGTTTGTTGGGTGAGTTTTGCTGAGTACAGCCTGCGAACAAGTGCACTGTACAAGTCCTGTTCATTTGCTAGCACTGAGCAATTATCTCTAGTTTGATCAACACCATATCTACAGCACTGATCGACTGAATCTGATGGTGGGTGCCAGGCTTAGTTTGTCATTATATTTTGTGCAGGAAGAGAATATGGCTGTCACTCCTGTGGAAGACGATGGTGGACATCTTTTGTTGGGGACCACATACCTCCGAATAAGTTGGTTAGAGAAGGACAGCAACAAAGATTTTATCCACAGTGCACCCACTGCTCATATTTACAAGGTGAAAGTTCGTAAACTAGGACTACTGTTTAAGAGGCATAAAAGTACTAATATGGGCATGTTTGCTATTGAAAAATCATTGTTACTGCATGCAAAATTTATGATTAGATGAAACAACCACAAGGAACTTATATAAGTAGACAGTGTATGTGAAATTGGTTACAGTGCAAATATTTTTGCAGATAAGGCAAGAGTCAATTGTCACTTCCTTGCTCTTCACCTGTTTAACCATAAGTGATTACTTAATTTTTTAAGAGTTAAGAATTTTTTTTTTAATTAGAGAATCTCTATTTAATTGATGACTGATGTTAAATTTTGGCCTTTGACTTTTTTAACTCCCACTTTTGATTGACGTGCAACTTCACATGGCAATGTTACTAAATAACTCAGCAAACAGGTAATGAGAGTTGACATTGTTCTAAGCTGTGGGAAATTAGCTGGATTTCACATCCAAAATGAGTTACAGTAGTAGAACCGGTTCACCAATGACAGCAGCTTCTCTCTTCTCACTAGGAGCAGCTTTGTCTTCCATGTCAAGACTGCAACGTATCAAAACACATGGCACATCTTTAAGACTCTATCATTTATGGTTACCACTACCACTTCCACTGGCAGTTCTTAGGAATTACATCAATGAAAACTCTGGTGCAAAAGAGCTAGATGAAAACTCTGTTTCAAATGTGGCTGATGAGAACTCTACTTCAAAAGAAGCTAATGAAGACTCTGGTACAAAAGAGGTCAATAAAGGGTCTGACATTGCAGATGAAATCCAAGATGGATATTTGCATACAATCCTGAATGGAGTGCTAAACCTTTTGAAAATTAAGAAAAAAGATGATAGTGAAGACTATGATTGAATCAGAATATAAGAAAGATGTGTATGAGAAATTGTTTTATAATGTTTTTATTTTCTTTGAAGATTGACTAGTTTACTACTCAAGTTTAATGCTGTACACATTCAAGTTACTGCAAATGCTCTTATGTGCCTTATTTCCAGGGTTTGTTCAAACAGGGCTAGTAGGAGAAGATGCAGTTAGAGAAAGTTTACCATATTCTTGAAAAATGACACTATTCTTTTCATAACCATTGCATGAGATTAGTTAGCACCTAAACTGCAATATCACATTCAACTTCAAAGTGAAATCAACTGTAAAAGATATTTACACAAAATAAAATGTTCTTTCTCATATTTTGAGTGCGTTGTCACACCAGCTCCATCTTTAATTTCAATCTGCTTTTTAGCTTCCAGATGGTTTTAAATAGAACTTCTGCTTATCATGTTAGTTCTCCTTATAAGGAGCAGAATGTGATCTGAACTTAACACCAAATTCTCTCCTCTTGTTCACAGGGATGTAGACCAATTAGAGAGGAGATTTTATGGGTAAAACCAGAAGTGTAACTTCTCCAGCTCTTTTCATTGTAACAGTTTTTTTCACATTGTGATCATTGGATTCTGTTTTATATTGTTGATTCTTTTTTCATCAGATTTGCTGACTTTCCAGACTGAGCAAAGTCCTTTTGATAATCTTCTCTTTTCTTCAGGTACTCTTGTCGACATTCTTCAAAAAGTTCTTTGTCCTGGTAGCTGAAAGAAAATAAAGATAACTTTATTACTATGATTATGTTTGACATTTAAAAAACAACAAAAATGCAAAAAGGACTTCTGAAAATAAAAGTAAAATATGGATGCAGTGTTAAATGTAGGAGCAGGCCCTCTTGATTTCTGACCAAACCCCAGGTTTGTAGGATGTGAGTATCCTTAATCCTTTACACCCTAAATATCAGTATTCACTCTCTCCTAATTGTTCTCTATACATTTCCTAAGGTGCTGACAAGGAAAATTTGTTTAACAATCAAGGGCTATGTTAGACTACAAGCAGTCCCTCCTTTTGTGTTTTGTTTCACAAAAATCTCAGACAATGTAAAGCATGTGTTTTTGCAAGCACATACTGCAAAAGTCATTCCAAAATGGTTCCTTGACTAGTTTACCCTTCCTAAACACCTCCTTATGATATTTATTCACAAGAGTCATCCTTACTGAAACATTTGACAAATTTCCAGTTTATTGTGCTCCTTGAAATTTAAAACGGTTTAATTTTTTGAGATCACCTTGTGTTGCAATGAAATTGAGATTAAAATTTGACGCCCAAAGATCACTCAGCCATAGAAGTTCAAACTCTTAGGCTTAGTCTGTAGTTCCTGTTGTTTGAGCGCATCACTCATGGAGCTACTGCGGTGCATGAACAGCACTCCAACAGCTCCCTATGGTGCACTCACATCAATTTTCATCACTAATTTTTTTTTCTACTTATGCAACTGACTTCAATGAGAAGGAGGGACTGCTAGAAGTCTAGAGCTTCACTAGTTAGTGATCATTTCTTTCATTCATGTGACCTTTAAGTGTGATTCAGGGGAGATGCTGTGAGGATAAATTAGTTGCTAGTCACCCCTTAGGAATTTAAAGTTTGAGATTATTGCTCCCCTCACCCTGCGTTATGTGTAGTAACAGCCAATATCTTGAATAAAGATGAGCCTGGAAGGAGATGGGCGGACCATTTTTGATAGTTTTTTCAGCGCGTGTTTAAACTCTTTTAAAATTCTACCCCTGAAAAAGCGTTTGGTCTATACTGGAAACCACAGGCAAAGTCGATAACAAAGATTAATAAAGTAAACTAAATGTTTTTGGTACTTCTTATTACGTACTTCCGAAACGTTTAACGAAATTTTCAATACTTACTAGCTAGTCAAACAGTCTTTCATCGCTTGATTCTCTTTGCGGCAAGTCCATAAAATTGATACAGTTCTCCCTTTTGCACACTGCGTAAAAGCTGTCAAAAAAGCCAGCATCGTTACCCAGATCACGTAATTATGCAATGAAGAATTCAGAAGAACTTGTATTAGAAAGCGAGGACAGTTTACCTTGCACGAGATCATCACATTTAGCCTTTGCCTTCTCTCTTAAGATTTTCGGGATAATGACTTCTGTTTCTACATGCCTCAAATGTTCTCCGCTTGCCCAAGGTGCGATTTTATCGGAGACCTCACCTTGTCCACTTTCTTTCTTGGTAGTAGCCATATTGAAAATGACCCATCAGTCTTTGCGAGCGTACAGTTTGTTCGCTATCTAGTGTCAGCGGTCAATCTTGTAACCAGTGCTTTTCAATGAGCACGTTTGTCTTCTGGGGATGGAGAGGAGCGTAACTTAAAAGGATGAGCAAAAAACACAAACAAAAAGGGGGAGAATATGTGTGAAAAAGGCACTGGGTAGTTGCTCAGCGCTTGTTTAAAATTTTTGACTGAGACCAGTTCCCAATAGCTAAATAGTCGGAGGGGGGAGGGGGGGAGGGGGGACTTTTGCCAATTGGCCTCCTATAGCAGACCAGTATTTATTGCCCAGCAGGGCTGACCATGACTCTATGAAACCTGGCGATTGTACTGCATATACTTGTTGCCAAGGAAAACTTTCAATAGAGCATTTTCTTTTTATGTTTGTGTATAATTATATAGAGAAGAAATAATGCCAGGCTTACGTACAAATGCGTTGTGCCAAGCATTGTAATGTCAAAGAAATAAAAGCCATTGAAAAAAGCAAATCAGAATGGGAACTAATTACCAGTTCAAGTTATTACTAATAACTGGCTGACCAGAAAACTGAATGGGTGAACTGTGAGAATGTAATTTTAGGTCATTTCTTTTTAATTTTATGTTTTTCAGTGGATTAAATGACATAAAACATAAATTAATTTTTTTCATTTATTAATGTATATTTTTAAAAAATTATTTGGTTTTGAAATATTAAAGTTGGTATTCTGGGCAAAAATATGCAACAACTTTACCAAACATTATCTTTTCTGTCAAAAAGAGCCAACTTTTCCTTGATGATTTGTGCATCACACAAGTGATGCACAAAAATTAAATAAAGAATTTTACTAGGGCAATTTCTCATGATTGTTTAATTGACCAGTCATGTTTGATTACGAGTTTAAGCGGATGGTGGGGGGAGGGGATGGGGAGAGGTAATTTCTATTGGCCCACCACCTTCCTTTTGGGCATTGCTCAACCACTTGGTACAAATTTCTTTCTCTCCCCAGCCTTCTGCGGCTGTAAAAATCAAAGATGACAGCTATAATTTTCACTGAAAAAAAATTCTGAGCACTTGCTCACCAAAACTATCCCTGCTCTGTAAGCTAAGTTTGCTTCCACTCTTTTTTTTTTTAAAAACAAAGGTTATATCTGTCTTGAAAAATCAAAAGCACAACTAAAAAAAAGTGATGAAAAGAATAATGTTCTAATTTGTCTCTTGACATCATTTTGTTCACAGTTCTTTCTCTTCCAGGCAGTTATTGTGAACAGAATGTGATCCACATCAGTTTGAAGGATCATCAGTGATCTAGAATTCTCAAAAACTTGTTCTTCATTTACTTGCCCTTGACTGTTCTTAAATATTCTTCCTTGTATTTTTTAAAGTTGGCTTTTCTATAGCTGAAATGAAAAGCAAAAAATATCAACATAAAAACTCAAACTATTCGCCCTTAGCTTAGGACAAGGTTGGCACAAACAAGGGAACAAGTTTTTTAATTACTTGAACAGTTCAATGGAAGGAACAGTCATAGTTTTTAGGGGAAAGTCTCTCCAGCTTGTTCTACAGGAACACAGATGAGGGTTGTGCTTTTTTTCACCTTAACATAACAGTTCTACAACCATTAATCAAGACTGTATTGAGATTAATAATTAGATTCCAAGTTGCCATCCCATTTTCAGTAATGTATCATATATAATGCCAAAATGTGTTAAGAACAAACAAGTGACATGCAAAGCCCAGTCAAGTGTGTCACATTGATCATTGCATGTCACTGAGTGCTTATGTCATTGTTGAAGGGGGGGGGGGGGGACAGGGGATCACAGCCTCCATCCCATTTTCACTCCCACCCTCCATTGAATAACTCCTATATACAGGTTAATAAAAAGGATCACAAACCTGATCAATTTAGTCTCTGACAACATTCAACTCGACTCTCATTGATTGTTGGAGAATTTGGACTATTGCAGCTTGCAAGACACTTACAAATTCATTCATGACCAATCACATACCCAAATTCAATAGGTATCCAATTTCACCAGTATTATGCTGTTTTTTTCTCTAAGAAAAAAACTACATTTCCTTGCTTATAAAATTTTATTTTATGCCTCAGTGGACATCAAATGGGAGTAAAAAAACTTATGTGGGTGCTGGTTTTTGACTAGAAGATAAGCAGTGGGAAACTACAGAAAAGCTCCTTTATGATTTGTGCTCTCACTCCCTGCCCTCATATAGCTCCCACCCTCTCCTGCCCCCTACCCCTGATCTTCCAGGTTCCCCCCCCCCTCCTGTCCCCCTCCACACTGTTACTGGTCTTGAGAACTGGACTAAGGTTTTACTTACAATCCTTCCATACACTGTTTCATGGCTTTGTGTTCTGGGCGACAGGTCCAAGCTAAAGAGATGGTACGGTCCTGTGCACATTCTAGAAAGGCTTGTGAACAAAGAAATACAAAACTGAGTGAAGGCAATACTTAAACTCAATAGCTCTACAAAAAATAAACTGACATGACTTGTGCTTAGCAAGGTGGTATAGTTATACATCTTAAACTTTGTTACACTCTCATTTAAGACCAAAAAGTAATTTTTCCAAATGGCATCAATATAATTTATTTTCAAGCAGAGAAAGAAAAATATAAGCTTTAGGATATTGCTTGTCTGATCTACTAGAGATAAAATTGTATGAAATATATAACATTCAGTATAGAGAATTCACATCGATATATTCTTGGGAGTGAAAGGTTAAATATCAGTTTACCTTTGTTTCAGAAGCAGTTTAATGCGGTGATAAGGGTATTATCCTTTCTCATAATAAAGCTGGCTACCACATCACCCATTTTTCATTTTCAGCCACATTCACCGCATACAATAATACGATAAAAAAAAATCCAAAATTCGCACGCGCGTGCTGAAGGGTATAACCTCTTACTTCTCCAGCTTCCATGAGCGAATCTATGGTTCTGGCGTGCAAATGAACGCCCATTTACCATATTCTGCATACAACGCGAGATTTATTGGCCAAAGTACAGATTTTTCAGGGAAATATGTACGACGTTGGCAAAATATCATACGAGTCTTTGCGAGATAATAATGAATTTTAAATTCTTTCCAAACGCAAATTCCCAAATAAGAGAAAAGCCATGTAATACCTAGTGTCAATCAACCCTAGACTTAATACCTTTTACCAAGGGACTGCACTGCAATTTAGCTTTTTCGTACATCCAAGCTTTCAGGTCATCAACATCAAGTTCGTCCGCCATCTTTGATTTTACCCATCATTCAATGGCACCATGGTGGTCGAGTGAGCCTTGGGCGGAGGGCTTTTTTTAGTTTAATTATTATAATACTTTATTCTTAGTGTGGTCGAGAAAGCCGGTTGTTATGGAATGTATCAGTAATCCTTAATAATGGCGAAAAACGGCTCTATAAATCATCTTAGAGATAACCACACCAAAGAGAAGAAAATATCTAAAGCGCCGATTCTATTTAAACTAGAATCTTGTCCTCCATGGCTGCAATTTAACAAATATATTTGGGGAAGTTATCGATGTAACTTATCAACGCGCCAATGCGTAGACAGCTTGTTTTACGTCCACAACGAAACGTTCAATATTTATTCGCACGGTAAGTAAGAAAATAGTTTTAGATGTTTCTACTGCTTTGTTATTTAACGCAAACTTCGGGAATTTTGGAGAGAGAAATAGGAACTCGTGAAAAGTTACAGACATCAGCACATCCGATTATTAATTTATTAACTTAAAACTCATTTAATATTAACTTGATGAAATATTTTTTTTTCGATCGGGAAATCAAACTCAAGTGTAAGTTAACATGCACACATTGAAGTTAAACTGAATTAAGACCTACATGCTTCTTTCAATGTTTTTTTTTTCAGCTGTACTAGGTTTTGGTTTCACTTCTTTTGATTGGGTCAGAATGTTTCAATATACTTTCTAAACATTAATTTTTATTATAACATGGCTAGTAAATTTGTGTCATCAAATTCAATTGTGCGAGCGTGCTTCATATTCCTATTGTGCACGTTCATGATGTCAGCAAACAAATCCCTTGAGAAAAAAAATTTCCATTGGGTTGAAAATGTTATAAAACAATTGGTTCATGTGTCAGCTGTGCGTTCATCAGGATATGAAGTACTTGGGAAGTTTGGAGAGCACTCAAGAAGCTAGAGTTGTTCTTGGCTACGCCTCGAGCAACTCTTATGCATCTTTTGTGCTCTCCAAACTTCCGGCATGCTTCATATCTCGATGATTGCATGCTGATGTATGAACCAATTGTTAAATTGATGGCTTCTCTGTTTGTTATCGTCCAAAAGTGAGGTCAAGAACATTAAATTCTTTAACTCCCAAGATCTGATTGTTAATCACCTATAGATGTTAAACATTTTCTTGTAAATTTGTTAGTACAAGAATTTGGTGTTTGATCAAGATAACAACTACCTGATAAATTTGAGTTTTCTCATTACCTATTCCCTGAACAATTTATGGCAATTATAGGTAGAACTTAAATGTTAATTACTTATGGGATTTAACCCTTTAACTCTCAGATCAAATTTGTGATTTTCTTATTGTCAACCATAAAATTCTTATAATGTAAGTTCAGAGAATTCAGTATGGGATCAACTTATTATCCTCAAATTTATATTTTTCTTTTTTCTCATCACTTACACAGTTGATATTGTATTAATCTTGTAAGGAGAAATTCTGTCTTGGTCACTCATGGGAGTGAAAGGGTTAAAGGATTTAATGAAACAATTTCACCTATTTATTTCAGGTATTCCCTGTGCATTTTTTGTGATGCTAATCCCCATAACAGCAAGTGCAGCAAGTCTAGCCAACCCACTATGGTTTTTTCTTCACTATTTCTCCTGTTTTGCTCCATTCTTGGCTAGCCCTATTTATCATTTATTTATGTGTCATCAAAATGGACAGGATTCATACAAGCATCTACTCACTTTGGACGTCTGTGGTATCTGGGCAATTAATGCCTTTGGTGCTTTGTGTGGTATCCGTGCAACATTTTACTGCCTTCCATTTTGGCAGTTTTTGTCTCTTACAGTTTATTTGGTGATTTCCTTGAGGTGTCTATACTTTATTGTGATAGCTGACAATGCTAAAGAACGGTTCAAACCTTTTGCAGTATTTGGTGTGATGAGGTATTTCTTTGCCGCAGTTCGTCTATCATTTTATTATTTTAATGTTACCAAAAGCAGCGTCAGTGCTATGCCGTATTATTTATCAATGGATTTATTAGCTTTTATTGGTGGAGCACTCAATGTTGCTAGAATACCTGAGAGATGGTTTCCAGGTAAATGTGATATCATTGGAAACAGTCATCAAATTATGCATGTGGTTACAGTACTAAGTGTTATTTGTTTACACATTGGATCAGTAAGAGACTTTCACTGGATGAGTGAAACTCTTTGTATGTGAGGCAGGTTCTGGCTTGCGTGATGTTCTACTGGAACAAGAGTAACTTGAATGTGAGAGAACTGAAAGACAACTCCTTCTGTTGCATGGACTTACTACTTTTGCACAGCAGTCTAATTTTCTTGCACCTGTCTTGCAGAAAATTACCTAAATTGTATAGTTTTTGGCTTAAATTCCAGCCATCTTGAACTACAAATATTTTTTTTCTTGTGTAACACACAAATCTGCTAATCTATCAAGTAAAAACTGTGTAACAATTAATAGCAATATTAACAGTGTTGAAAAGAATTAAAGGATTTTGTCTGCCTTCAGATTGAAAAAAATGATAATATTGAAACATTAAGATTTTTAAATTGAGCAAGCAATTTAACTATTTTTTAAATGTGTCAAAATATTTTACAAATAAATTTAAAATTAATTATTGTTTAATTATGTGTTATTTGAACTTTAATTTTTGTAAATAGAGGAGGTGAAACATAGTCTATAACTAGTCCAGACTTTCAAACTGATTAACCTTTATCTGTTTTATCTTTATTGAGATCTTTACCCCTACTAAGGAGTTTTAGACAGCTGTTAGATTTTGAAGATAAAGGACTTTTACCAAAAGATGAAACACATTGCTGCTTGCTAATAGTAAAGGTCATTTCAACTTTCATTCTATTGGGCTTTTGGGCTTAATGTGATTTTCTTATACAGGGAAAGGAATGTTGTTTCTTTTTTAAGGAATTAGATGACATGCTAATGAACAGCTGCAAATGAGACTGGGTTGCAGAGGGCAGATTGAATTTTAAGAATTTGTATTATACTGTTAAGTGTGAGGGAACAATTCCTGAGCTGGATGTGGCTAACCATTTAATTCTCAGGATATGATAAGTGATTTTCCTTTGTTGCTGCCATAAATTTTCTTATAAACTAGTGAAATAAATTTGTTTTATCGGGGAGATGCCTTAAGCTAATAAGTTCTCACCACGTGCACATTACTCCAGCAGTGAATTACCTGTTAAATGTCAATCACTTGGGGGTTACAGAGTTGAGACAAAGAGGAAAGGACTTCAATTAAAACGTAATCAATTTTGTGTCTCATTTCTCTCGTCGCTTTGCTGCTTATTTTGTGGGTTTTGCCTCTCAAAGTCCGAGAGGCTTACGTATGACTAGCAATTGGCCACATTGACCGACTTAATAAAACCACACTTTTGATAGCATTCTACATTATATCAGCTTCAACTTAAATATGAATGTTTTCTTTTTAGAGGCATCATAGAGCTCCTAGCTGTTAATCGCTCTAGAGCTGGCTACAGCTGACGTGCAAACCAGTCACATGTTTATTAACCGCAAAGTTTGGGTGCACGCGCTTGCTCCACTAACCGCCCTCTTTCCTGTGAGAACTGTGCTGATATATTAGAAATTTATTATCAGTATTTTAAAATTACAGTTTTTCAGTCAGATTTTCTGCTTTTCACAGGCTTGATTCGACTAGAACATACTACACCTGAAGAAAGTTTTGACCACCGATTCAATGCGTCGATGAAAGACGACATTCTCTCCAATATGTTAAAAATGGCTCTCAGATTATCGTCGTAATTTTTGTAAGTCGAGCTTGTTCTTTGAAATCCTTATTTTTCTTCCTTTTCTAGAACTTAACTGCGGTTTAAGACAATTGGGCAATGTAAAAGTAATTTCTCACGCATTCAAACAAACTCCTCCCAATATACTCAAGTTTGGGAGTAAATTGTTTTTTCTTGTCGTGATCTGATTGGCTGTTGGTGTCGTCATCAGATTGTACGTGACATATTCGAAGTGTTATTTCACAATTCTTGGTCACCCGTACTCAAAGTAAAATCGTGTCTGAGACATGCGCTCACGTGTCGGGGAGTGTATTACTCCTTTTACGCAATTTGATTGGCTGTTACATGTATAATTAGTTTCATTAGCAATTGAAAAGCATCAGGCCACCTTTCGCAAGATGTATTGAGTGCTTGGTCGTGTCCCGAATAGAGTGGACTACTTTTCTTTTCCTGGTTTTTAAGACACCATGTAGACGCATTGGCTAAAAGTTGCTATTATTCCTGCTCTGGTTTTTACAGTTTGAGTCACAAAGCTCCGAGATCGCACTTGTACCGCAGTTATAAAATCGAAGAGCACAGCAACACAATCCAAACCCTTCGATTGCTTTGATCATACCTTTCTCTACCTGATAAAAAAGATGTCGTCTGTCCCTGTCAGTGTAAACTTTGTGAGGAAACTGGTGGATAAACCAGGGACGATGACACAACTGGATGCTGTAAGCTTTAAAAGTAGTGAAGCGGACATCGCTGGTACCAACCGCGTACAGCATGACATGCAACCCGCACTGCTTGTAAATCGAGTACAACAACATGGGTTGATCTACTGTTATGACACACATATAATGATGCTTGCCCATTCAGCTCAGGAATTAATTCGCAATTTGCTAGAGTAGACGTTTAAAGAAATGAAACAGGAACTAAGGCGGTCCCCACGTCGCTTGAGACGCTGTGAACACTGTATATGAACTGACCTGGTAGGCTGAAATCTCCAAAGTTTTTGGAAAGCGTACTTTTTGCAGTACTCACTCGGAAAACTAAGGATTCCTCTCGCTTCGGTGAACTCTCGATGAGAGGAACTCAACAAAATCTTCGACCGAATTTGGAATCAAACATTATTCCACTGTCAATCGTCTTCATGTTTCACAGTATATGCGTGTATGACTAGTACAAGTGACTTTGTTGAATATGCAAATGAGATGGGCAAGTGTTCGAATACATTTCTGACTTGCGTTGCGATTTCTTAAAAAAATAAATGAAATGACGTGGTTTATTGTACATTGTTTCGAAAGAAGGGGATCTTGGAATGAAGTGTACATGTTCTGAATATGTTTAAGCGCGCGCAAGAGTTCCCTGACAACTCGCCTGTTCCCGGGTGCACGTAGGGTAAAGTTCCCGGGTCTTGAACCCGGCCTCTCGGCCCAAAGGGCAATGGGTCTCCCTCAAACGAATTGTTCAACATACCTTTTTTTAGCTAACTAATGCAAATGTCTACAGCTGAATAATTTCACGCATTTACTCTCCGTTTCCTCCTACCGTTCCCCAATCAGGCTTCTGATTGTCATGATCGAAAAAGAGGGCGCGCGTGCGCGAGATAACACGGCAGCAGTCAACAGGAAAAGAGAGTGGTCGATCTGTGGCTTCTTCCGTGACAGTCACAGTCACCGTCTATTTTTGGTGCCTTCCTACAATCGGCTCCTTTGACTGAAAGCCTGGAACAGGCCATTAAACTTGACACAAATAAGCGGTCCGTAGTTTTCCACGTGCCATTAAATTAGAGGAAACTCATCACTTTTACATGTAGTAACAGAAAATTTTAGCAGTCTCCAACCCTGTCTTTTCTTGAAACAAATATTTTTTTTTTGACACAGTTCCAATACAGAGAGGAAAACCCAGGAGAATCAGCCTCCTTTCCCCTCCCAGAAAAAAAGTGATTCGGTAACCGAATCCTTAAAATGTCCCTCGGCCACGAGTCCTCATTAATCTGCCACACCTCGTTGCCACTCGGGAAAAACCTTAATTTTATTAAGCGTTTCTCGGGGTACACTGTGCCGGACGAGTCTTCGACCGGTGCCAAAAATTCGTGCGTTTAGGCGTTTCTTTCACATGAAACCACGCCAAACGTACGAAAATTTGGACGCCTAAGCGTTCAAGAATTTGAACACCAAAATCAAGGACGAATTTTTTGCCGGTGCAGTCTTAATTTGACCACCACGGTTTGTTAAAATTTTTGTACGGTGAAGGCGTGGCTGCATGGATGCGTGGTAACTAAGCTAAGTAACATATTTTATTTTCTACGAAAATGGAACGTGTTGATTTATTGATTGCGGTCTGTTTAATGTCAGAAATCAAATTAAAATCGCTGCACATCTATCTGTAATTCGAAGACGTCGAAGAAGGGAAAACACTGAATTAGGAAGCGTTCTGCGCATGAGGAGACGGTAAAACCACTGACGAATGTCACAAACTTTATCCGGTCATCAGCTCCATCTGAACAGAACGAAACTTTCGCATGGTTCCACGCGAATTGAACGTCCGGTCGATATTTGCGTAGCCTCAGTAACATCAGTAAACGGGCTTCTGTGTGTGGCCAACCAATATAATTAGTTGTTGTTATTCCTTGTATGCATTGAAATTAAGTTCCGAATTCTGATTGGCTGACGAGACCGACCTTTGTACTTTTCGTACTGTTTTGTTTCAGCAGGATTTGGGGCTGGTTAGTTATTCCGCAACCACGATTGTACCTGAAACCAAAAATGATCGAGTTTCAAGAAGAAGTTTCCACCGATTGGCTTCATTTTGCTGTCATTTCAAATTCACTGTGTGTGCTGTGAATATTTTCAGTCTGGTGGTCACATAGGTCGCGGAAAAAACTCAGGTGAGTGTTCAACGAAACAGATCCATGAATAGATTCCTTCGATTGTTCGAGCCTTAAAAACTTGTATTTTTCTCGTTGTTAGAAATGGCCTCAGTTCCGATAAGCAGGAGCTACGTTAAGAAACTCTCCAACACAGAGAAAAGCAGCTCCAAAAATGCTTTTTCCCTTAAACGACAATGTCCACAAGAGGAAGAAGATCGCAATCAATCTGTTTCCAATACTGGAAAAAATGGACTCTCGTTAACTGATTACAGGGTTTCTGTCGTTAAAGAAGTAAGTGCCCTACGCGTGGATGTCGGGAGAAAAGACAAAAATGTCGATAAAGTCGGTGAGTAAAACACAGCTTAAAGTCACGTCATGATTTCGCTACTGTATCCAAAAATCTTCAAGTAACCTAACATTAGTTTTCCGAATGAAGAACGAACCTCGCGTTTATATCAATATAATTCTTTCATGGCAGAAGAGAGATCACGTAAATTTCATATTCATTTTAAGGAATTAAGGGTTTCTGTACAAGGATGATATTCTTGCACGTGCGGAGTTATTTTTTTTCATCTTGGCGAATCGTTCATGGAGGGAAAGACTGGGGCACGAAGGGGGTGGGGACGCGATCCTAAATTTTTAAAACACTCGAGATTTCCTAGGTTGCAACTACCGAATCTTTCATTTTTAAGAGTAGAATGTAACTTTCTGAGAATTTTGGGTTTGATTTTTTCTGACTGATCTTTCAGAATTCTTGTCAAGTTTTGCCATTTTTTTTGGTTTTATATACTCCATGGTTTTATAACATTACTGGAGCATAAAATGTCCTATTTCTTTTCCCTTTTTTATAGGGTGAAGTTTAGGCCATGCATGGATGAGAATTAGTTTTTCTCTACAAAGCATAATCTCAGGAATGTATGGAAAGTTATTTTTACATGGACATTTAGTCAAGTAATAGAAAGTCTTATCAAGGAACTTTTACTTACATTGGAAAGAAAAATTGTACAGAGGAGTCTAATATTTGTTTGAAAGGGTTTTTTACTTGCTTTTCTGTACAAGAATCATTGATATGTATGGAAGTGACTGACTTCCTCCAGATGGGGTTGTTAAAAACATGATTTTAACCATGTAATCTTTAAAGAATTATTTAGGGTAAGTTGTTTATCAAAACCATGTGCTACCACACATGAACTCTATATTAGATCTAATTATGCATCTTACTCAGCCAGGATTTAGACAAATTTTATTAGAAAAAAATAGATATGATTTACAAAACCAAGCAATATAATTATTTGGTGTTAACCAATGGAATAAGTTCCCTTTCATTGTGTTAGCCCATTTTTTAACCTAAATTTTATACCACAGTATAGTCACTTTATTGTTATATGTTATGACTTCAGATTCCCCTGTGTTTCTGTTCCATTAACCCAAAAGAGCTATCTCTTTGTTTTTATGTCTTAGAATATTGAGCTTAGATTGGACTTATTAGTATTAGAAGTATGCCGTTATTCAACCAGTCCAACCTACATGTATTTTTGTACAGAAACAACCAATATTGGGCTGGACAGACATCCATGACATATCACATCTCAATGAATATACTCCTTGTTATGAAACAGTATATTTATGATGCTTAAACCATTAAACTCCCATGAGTGACCAAGACATAATTTCTCCTTACAATATCCATACAATATCAACCAGATAAGTAATGAGAATAAAGAAAAATATCCTTTTGAGAATAATTAGTTGATCAATACTAAATTCTCTGAACTAACACTATAAGAATTGTATGGTTGACAGTAAGGAGAATTACAAAATTGATTTGGGAGTTAAAGGGTTAATTGTATAAGCAACCTCAAACTCATTGCAGGATAAGTGACACAGCCGTATTTAGAACCTGAGCTTTGCTTGGAATTCAAATCTTCTTTACATGCATTAAAAACTGGACAAAATGTTTGACCATCGAAGGAGTCAGGTAATCCTACATTTGACCTCACCATGTCTATTGGCCCCCCCATCACTTCCAACCTATATTATTTAATGGATGGGTTCCATTAGATAATATTTAATATGCTACTTATAATTAATGTTAAACTTCATCTATGAACTATTTAACATATGTGTACAATGACAGATAAGTAGATATCCTAGATAGCTCTTATGCATGGTGACCCCATTTACTGCAAATTCACCCTAAGCTTCCTTTGTGTACTAACATTTTCATAAGTCTTTGTTAATTTCTTGCTGTTTTCATGAAGGTATATATTCTTTTGATTTCAGTGTTTTGGGAATACTTTATGGTTTACAAATAAAAGCTCCACACCTTGAAAGTGATGAGGCTTGGAGGTGAAATTGCATATTGTGATCTAAACATGCATAAGGCCTTTAATTATGATAAGAGACTTTAAGCATAAGTGACTGATATATAATAACCTCCTAGTAATTTTGTTAAGCTCATGGATCTAGATTTTTCACCAAAACAGGTAGAATTTCTTGTTACAAGCATTCGCTACTCTGTGAAAAGAACCATTTGGTTACCAATCCAATTTAATCTTAACAAGTACTTGAACTATATTTAATGTGTGCGTGTCAACAAAATCAATAAACTGACTCTTACTTTTTGCAAACTGTTTTTTATAAAATGTGTGAAACAGGTTCTGACCATAGTTGCAATAAGTAAAGGTGGTTCTGAACCTACTGAAAGATAAGTCTAGTTATGTGGACTGGAATAGAATAATTCAAGACATTAAATTAAAGCCTGAATATACATCAGCTAACAAGAGTGATAGTTTGATATAGCAACAAGTTTTTCTCATACATTTTGGAGAAATCTACAGTAACTAAAAGCTAAAGGCAGAGATGCCTGTTGGTGGAGATCTCAAATATATAGATTTTTCTGTTGTGCCACCACAGATGACAACTCCTGGAGATCTCAAATCTGGAGACTTTTTTCCAGACCAGCATCCCCCCCCGACGGAGTTGACAAATGTGCCACCCCCCCCAGGAAATTTTCCTTTCAATCTGGACCCCTACCCCCCCCCCTTCACCAAGCAATTTTGTGGGAAAAACGTGGATCTATCTGTCAGGGACTTCAATTGGTTGAATACTTATCCAATCAAACTCTCGCTTGCTTATATAGGAGTAACAAAGAAGAAACTTTTTCCTTTCTGTTTGCAACGAACAATGTGCATCACGCAAGAAAATGAAGCCAGAGACCGTAATACAAGCACAAGAAGCCTGATGATTTTGGATGTTTTGGAACATATGGAGCTTTAATCTTAGTTTTTTGTGGGCAACTAATGTAAGCTTCCTTTTATCTGGGAGTTTTGGTCACTTGTACAGGAGAGCAGGAGATTGGCTCTGTATCCAGGAGACTCCTGGATAATCTGGGAGAGTCGGCATATATGCCATCATATCAACTCAACACCATCCTCTGAACCAAGAAATTGATTTCTCCATGATCAAATTGACCTCCCATCCCAAAAATCCAGTAGCACCCTTCAATTTTTACCTCCAACCTCACAGCTGGAAAAGGGAATATAAAATTATAAGACAGAAAATGATGATATATTGATGACAATGACCAGGAGATTTTTTCTGTGGCCTGGAGACTCCTGGATAATCCAGGAGAGTTGGCATTAATGTTAAGGGAAAAATAAAAATGAGATGTTAAGAGTTCAAGGGTTAACAGGTAGGCAGGAAGATCACAGATTCGAATTTGTATGGCCCTTATATGAAGAGGCTTATATTGCAGCCAATCATCTGTAGTAAGGACTGGGTTGTACTCATGCATTGCATGACCTTGTATTTTCAATCTTGTGGGGTATTGAAGAAAGGATCCATTGAACTGACCATGACAATGTTCACGAGGTTAATAACTACACCTTTTTGGATGTGGGGATAATTTTACAAATATACATTGCTGTGAGCAGAAATAAATGAACGTAATAAAATAAGCTAGTTAATTGTACTTATGTTTTGCCGCAGGGTGGAGTCAACCTCTCTTGTCTTTAGGGTTTTCAGGAATTAACTTATAGCAGCTCTGAATTTGCCTTGAAATCTTTTCAGTCTTTTTCCAATATCCTTTTGCTTAAATTTCTGGGGCGGATCCAAGAATTTCTCAAAGGGGGGGTTGTACACTATTTTAGTAACCTTAAACGCCAATGGCGGAAGGCGAGTGACGGCCCCGTGCCTCTGGCGCGAGCTCTTAAGGGGTCCGGAGCCATGCTCCTTCCCCCCCCCCCCCCCCCCGCAAAAAAAAAGTTTCCAATTTTTCCCTCTAAAGCGCCATTTACAGAATTCCTGAGACTTGAAAAGCGTTGTGAAGGCATGATATGAAATTTGGAGTTTATCTTATTTTTCAGCAAGAAACCCAAAAATAAAAGTGCATGATTGAAAGGGAGCAGTATCAGAAATAGTTATTTGTGATTTCTCTACATACCTCGTTCATCAAACAACGTAGCCTGAAAAAGTCTCCTAGGATGAGCTTTTACAAAGGCCTCGCACATCTCGTCTACCTCGAATCTCTCAGGGTAGTGCACAGCAATAATAGCGAGATCTGGAAAGCACTCTTCACACATCGCTGATCTGGTGCACGTCTTGATCCGTTTCATGAGCGAAAAGGACCGCTCAGCTTCCGCACTACTGATTGTTTGGGTGCATGATGCTCTCCTCCTTTTCTGTCGAGAGGGAAAGCATGGGCTGCCTGTGGCGCTCTGCGGCCTTGAGTCGGAGAATACCATTGGTCAGTGGTATACCGCATAATTCTAAGGCCGCAATGACATCACGGTCAATAATATTTCTGAATGCTGTAGGTTGCAACAGATTGCGAAGTTTATCACGAATTGAACGAGAACTTTATGCTTGATTTTAGGTTTAAAGAGTTTTTTTAGCCGTATAATGCCGTTATTTTCTAGTTCATCACCCTTTGATCAAGATGTTGGTAAGATTCAACGCATTATTAGTGCTTCTCTTGTTAAGCAAAACACAAACGAATGTCGATTAATCTCCTCTTTACAGAGAAAGCCACTAGCGAACTCAACACAACAGATGACTGGCAGCTTATTATGGAAATATGCGATCGTATTCCACGTTCACCGAGTGGGTAAGGAGATGTTTTTCCTCCCAAATTTCTGTCATACAGCTTGTCGCCGATCTTAAATAAGTAAACGTTTTGTGTGTCGAAGATATTAAGTCATCTGACTATTAACAGTAAGTTATTCATTTGACATCCTGGCACGATTATGTTATTTCCGTATTTCGATTAAGGTCTTATATGGAATAGTCTTCTTAAAAAGGTAAATACTAGCACTGTAAGGCAGTTTGAGACCGTTACTATAGAGTCATATAAAGTCATATGTTGAGTTGTACGGGCATAAAATGCGTTTATTAAATACGTGAATGCCATTGTATACATATTCATTGTTTGCCCAACACAACTCATACTAATGTACACTTCCTTGTCATGTCTTCAACAGAAGGTGATGTCATAATGACATAATGTTGATGTCATAGTTTCATTATACATAATTTGTGGCCACAGTTCTCAATAACAAAAATCAATTAATAACCAAACTAATAGAAATAAAAAATTGAAGGCAAATAATTTCACCATATGGAATGAAGTACACCTGTTTAATTGGTCTGGCTCTATAGAAAGTAGATTGGACAACTGCAAAGTCAGAAGCTCCAAGGTTTGAATGTTTCAAAGGGCTTTCACTTTTGTCCTTTTGTTGTGACAGATGTTGAACATCTCCAATACAGATGTACTTCCTGCCATGATTGTTTTCAAAGAATGTTTTATAAATTTGATGTTGAGGTAGTTTTAAGCTGAAATTCACATTGTGATTCAGGTTTTTTGCTGAACCAAGTTTTTGGTACTGTAGTCAGTCACAGTTGAAGTTTGATTAAGATGTGATTCAATTCTTATTTTTTTTCTGAAATAATGGAAAAGTAAGAAGTAACCATTTACTTAATCTATTTCCTGAAAAGATAATTTGGTACTATCAACTAAGTTGATAACATAAATAGGTATTAGCCCTTTGTAAGGGTGACGGGCTAATGCTCAAAACATCAGCTTTGAAACTCTTAATGGTGGCTAATTTATGTTACCAACTCAGTTGATAATACCAAATTACCTTGTTATACTTTCCCACCAATGCAATTTACATCATCAACTCAGTTAATAATACAAAATTACCTTGTTATACTCTCCCACGAATGCAAGTTACATCATCAACTCAGTTGATAATACCAAATTACCTTGTTATACTTTCCCACCAATGCAAGTTCCATCATCAACTCAGGTGGTAATACCAAATTACCTTGTTATACTCTCTCACCAATGCAAGTTACATCATCAACTCAGGTGGTAATACCAAATTACCTTGTTATGCTCTCTCACCAATGCAAGTTACATCATCAACTCAGTTGATAATACCAAATTACCTTGTTATACTTTCCCACCAATGCAATTTACATCATCAACCAGGGTGGTAATACCAAATTACCCTGTTATACTCTCCGACTGAATCAGCACCACAATTTCTTTAGAAACTTACCCCCTTTATTTCCTGAAAAGTGGATCAAGTCAGTTGATAAATTATATGCAGGAGATGTTGTTTCTAATGCAGGATCTCAGAGCAAGAGACAAAATTAATCAGCGTACAAAAATTGGAAATTACAAGAGAACTCTCCTGTCTTCTAGCCTTCAGTTTTCATTAATTTGTTTGGAGAAGTCATTTTACTACTAGGCATTGGAGAGGGATTGCCTGTTGTTTAGGCTGCTGACTACCAATAGGACAAGACAAAATACTAGAAAATTGGCTAACTTAAGTCAAGATGTTGACATCTAACGTAGTAATCATCATTTTTTTTTTTTGATTGCTACCCCACAGACCTAAAGATGCATTGCGATCGATAATGAAGAGAGTCAACCATAGGGTTCCCCATGTTGCTATGCAGGCCTTGACCGTAAGTAGAAATATTTCATTTGTTTCTGATAATTTTTATTAGTTTGAAATAATTAAGGAAAGAGATACTTAATTCCTAAAGAGCACGAGGGGTGTCATGTAGGAGAGCCAAATAGTTGCCCATTTACACCAACTTTGTAACTAAGTCAATTAGGATCTTATCATTTGGCAGTTGTTCCTTTCGGTTTGATCACACTGTTTTTTGCGAGTCCTGCTTGTGTCATTGTGTACAGCCTCTATATAGATCTCAAATTTTCAGATGATGTTTTTCAATAACTAAAATTTTTTTGCCTTACATTTTAGCTTTTGTCAGCATGTGTAAATAACTGTGATAAAGTATTCCACTTGGAGGTGTGTTCAAGAGATTTTGTCAATGAAGCAAAAAATATAATTTCCAGGGTAAGTTCGGAAACCAAAGTAGGTAAAGCAATATTGTCCAGATGCAAAAGTGGATACTAAACCACAATGATTGTGCATGCATCCTTATTTTTGTTCTTTTAAGGTGCATGTTTTTGATGTAAACGAGTTGTGTATCTTTTAATGCCCACAAAATTATGCCACTCGATGATAAGGCTTGCTATGGACCTTGAATTGTTAATGACTGAGTGAATAATTAAATTTTTCCATATAATAATTTATTCTTATCTGAATGTCAGTGAGTGTCCAAGACAGAATTTCTCCTTACAATATGAATACAATATCAACCAGATAAGTGATGAGAATTAAGGAAAATATCAATTTGGGGATAATTAGTTGATCCAATACTAAATTCTCTGAACTAACATGA